CCTCAGAATTCAGCTGTATGAAACTGATTTACCTGCTTCTGATAAATTGCGACTCTTTGCGACAGCTCACCTGTCTGAGGCAAATAAAAATAAAAAGGATTATTTATTATAAGTCAGAATAATATTAATTATGCATAACGATGAAAGCACTGCTGTTATGCCAGTTGTTTCATTTTCTCAATCTTCTCCAGGGAAAGACTGTATCTGTTATGCTATGCTAGAACACATAGAGGATAGCGCACTCTTATGAGCTCTGCAACTGTTCAATAAAATCTGGGAGGAAGGAAGAATGTCAGCAGCTTGGAAGAAATCTAAAATAACTCCGATCATTAAACGTGGAAAAGACCCATCAGACCCTTCAAGCTACAGACCAATAGCTCTCACTTCAAAATTAGGGAAAACAATTGAGCGGATGGTTACAGACAGACTAAACTATTTTCATGAAAGCAAAGACCTTTTTTCACCTTTTCAAAGTGGATTTCAGAAAGGAAGGAATACTATGGACTCGATTTTTAACCTAGAGTCAGAAATAAGGAAAGCTCAAACAAATAAGGAAATGGTAGTCGCTGTATTGTTTGACACTGAGAAAGCCTATGACATGCTGTGGATGGAAGGGCTCCTCATTAAGTTAAGCAAACTTGGGATTGGTGGCAGGCTGTATGACTGGGTGCTGGACTTTTTATTTGTTAGAACAAGAATATTTATCAGAATATTATGTAGAGAAGGGAACCCTTCAGGGCAGTGTTTGCAGTCCAGTGCTATTCAATATCACGATTAATGATATATTTGACAGTGTACATAGAAGCATTGGGAAGTCGCTGTGTGCGGATGATGGGGCTTTATGGATGAGGGGGCGTAGTCGAATGTACATACAAAAGAGAATACAGACTGCTATAGTAACTGTATAGCAGTGGGCAAATAAATGGGGTGTTAAAATATCAATTGCTAAAACACGACATAGACGACATAAAACTATAGCGTTAAAGTTATATGGCCAAATGCTTGAGGAAGTCAGGAATATTAGATTTCTTGGAATGGTTTAAGGTCAGGAATATGTGTAAAAAAGTTAACTACTTCTTGAGATGTCTAGCAGGGCGAGACTGGGGAGCATCCAGAGCATCATTACTAAACGTATGACAGGCTTGTATGAGGGCCACATTAGATTATGGATGTATAGTCTGCAGCTGAAAGTCACCTGAAAAAACTGGATATAGAGCAAGCACAGGGGCTTAGAACTTCCAGTGGAGCATTCAAGACATCTCCAGTAGCTGCCTTGCAAGTTGAATTAGGTGAGATGCCACTGCGTATGACAAGAATTCAATTAACGATGGCATACTGGGTTAATTTGCAGGTGCATAGAAGTTCTCACGCAACTAAGGCAATCCTACAGGACTGCTGGGAACACGATAGAACTAATTTTAACAGTTTTGGCTAGATAGGAAATATTAAAGCAGAAATTCTAGGAATAAATCAGATAGAATACAGTCGCACTAACCCTATCTCACCTGTTCATCCATGGTTGTTCAAAATCTCAGGTATAGATCTAAATATCCAGTAATAACTCAAAGGAAAGGCTCCATCAAGTACAACAGTACCTATATCCAGCAGCACTATAGGAATAGCCTCAGACAGTTGGGCAGCCCTCACTAGTATCCAATCATTAAGATCATGTCGACTAGATCTAGTGTATGAAATCATTCTGCTGCTATACAAGTTACAGAGTAAGGGAATGACTGCCTGCTTTCTTTGGGTTCCTGCCCATGTTAACGTGGAAGGGAATGAAAGAGTTGACAAACTGGATAAACTTTCACTCAAAAATCAAACAGTAGACATAAAAATACCATTAAACAAATATGAGGGTTAATAAATTATTAAAACACATCTGTGGAAAAGCTGGCAAGAATACTGGAATTTAAATAATACAGGAAGACACTTCTGTAACATCCAGAAACACGTTGGTCAGGGCAGAAGGCTGGGCAGGGACTGGAGGGAAGAGGCAGTCATTACCGTCTAAGAATCGGACACACCAGACTAAATGACGCACTTCAAGTAATGAATAAACATCTGACTGGAGCATGTCAGTACTGTGACAAAAGAGAAATAGAATGTCAGCAATATGAAGATGACAGGAAAAAAAACTCAAAGCATCGTTGCAAAAAATCAAGGTAGAGTTAACAGTGAAGAACCTCCTTGGGGGAACAGGAAAAGAAACATTAAGAGAGCTAATTGAGTTTCTTAAAAACACAGGACTTCTAATAAGGATTTAGTTTTTTTTAATGTATTTATTTATTTAGTTAGTTCGTTATTCCGTATTCCCAATCGTCCTCCCCACTCCAGTCCGGTAGGTGGCAGTAATGTACCTAAATGTTCGATGCCAACCGCCAAGCCAATCAAAAGAAGAAGAAGAAGAAGCAGTCTGAGGGTTTCCAGTCGGAACTATTTTGGTGACGCACTAGAGGAGCCTGAGCCGGTGTTTTCGTAGCGACGCAGCTGCTGGATGTGGTTTTATCTTCCACTAACCGACCTCAGAAAAGGAAGACTGCTGCCTGACACACATGAACTAAAGTACGTTGTCGTATTTGAAGTTCAGAAATGACTATTTACCGATAAGGAGCTCCATAACAACAAGCTAGCAGCGCAGAAGTCATGGACGGAAGAGAGCAGAGCTCACTAGTTTATACCAGTTAGTTCAGCGGCTTATTTAACCACCATGGTGCCATTAAAGCGAAGAAAAGTCATTTCCTCCAATACTGGGAAGGACTGCGGCGGGGATAAAGCCCCGACAAAGTTCCCTCAGGTGATTTTATTCCTGCTGGAGAGGAAGATGGGAGCCAGTAGAAGAGCTTTCCTGTCTCAGCTCGGACGAAGCAAAGGCTTCCAGGTGCAGGAGGTGTTCAGGTAAGAAAACAGAGACTTCAGTGATCCAAAAACAGTGGAGGTGAAGTGTCACAGCAGTGAAGAGAATCAAAGTTACCTGCAGGAATAAGATGAGATAGAATCCATGTGCCAGATATTGCTCGAGAAATAATCAAAGTAACATAAGAATGAATGCAGCGCCTAATGTAATAGCAGTTTTATTGGTAGATAGCAGATCAGATTGTGATGCATTAGTAAAATTCAAAAGAACAAGGCTAAACTGAAATTACAGTAGAAAAGTAACAGGTGATGCTGAAAACTATTCTCATGTGAAACAAAATAAAAATAAATATTGTACACAATACTGAAACTGAGGAGCCACAAAATATTCACATTTAGGAAGCTACAACAATAGAAATTAGTTGGATTTTTTAAAACATTACAGCCCAAATCATAAAATACAAAGTTAAAATTCTGATCTAATATGTCAAAATGATCAAATTCAAGTGTCATGGCACCCTGACATTTTAATATTGAGAAAATCTGTTACACAGTTTAGCTAAAAGCTTTCAAATCCTGTTTTCTCAGCTTCACTGTTCCTGTTCTGCTGTTGTGTTAAATCTTGTTTTTTTTCCACAGTAAAAGCGTCACACATGTCATTTCTGAAAACAACTCTGCTGATGAGGTCAGGACGTGGCTGAACTCGCAAGTCAGAAGTGAAAGCCACACAGCGGTTCACCTCCTGGATATCAGCTGGTACACAGAGAGCATGCGTGCAGGCAGTCCTGTGGAGATACTGGACCGGCATAAACTACAAGTACGCTTTATTTTTTGCACTAATACATCAACCTATTCATTAAATTTGGAATGATTACTATTACTACTTCACTTACTATCAGGAATCAATTAATTAACTGTAGCATCAACTCTCTTCTGATTAAAATATGAATCACAAACACAGTTCAAACTGTATGTTCTTTCTAACAGCCAGCAGGGGGCGACTCCTCTGGTTGCAGAAAGAAGCAAGCAAGTTTATCTATTAGCACCTTATCATATACTGAGGTTATTCAAAGTTCTTTACAGGCTAAGGTAATAAAAAAAACATGTAAAAGGTCAAATACAACATTAAATTAAATAAGTTAAATTAGATGTATCAAAAACAGTACAGACAAGTCAAAATAAGTGCCGCAAACTTTATAGAATAATTAACACTGATGAAGTAAAACAGTGGGAAAAGAAAATAAGAAAAAAAAAAACATGGACAAAAAATGGCAAACAAATGAAATAAAATTAAGCAAACAAAACTGCAGGCAAGTTTAATAAAAGCAAATAAAATAAGTGTAATTGTATAGATTAGACAGTTCACCAGCCTTTGAGGCCTATTACATCGTTAGAATTATAATTAGATATTATTAGAATTGTAATGTAGATTCCATTTCATACCAGTTATTGATCTCGTACAAATGAGTCCACATCCCTGTTCTGACATGTCAAAATTAAAAAAAAAAAAAAAAAAAGAGAGAGAGAGAGAGAAAAAGGAACCTTGGTTTGCCGTGCTTGCCTTCAAAATTTACAGGCCTCAAAAGTTTGAGAAATGTTGACCAACAACTGTACATTTAGTAGGAAATGTCTATTCATTCATATATTTACATAACATTCTGGGACCCTGGTACCACCCTCGTTTCAAAACTGTGCACTTTCCTCCATTTTCAAGGACCAAAAATGACAAATCTGGTCTCTACTGGAAACTATTTTGTCTGTGTCCTTACCAAATTTCACGGCTATACGAGTTATATTTCTGGAGATATTGAAGTATTGATAAAGATGCTTAGGTTAGACCTTTCTGTGAGGGTTGAAATTCCCAGTTTTGCAACCTTGAATTTTTCAAATTTCGGAAAAATTTTTTTTACAAAACTTAGTTTTTGGTCCCAAATATCAAATAATGGGACAAAACGGATGATAGTGGTCAGTTGTACTGTTTTCACTTTTAGCTGCTCCATACAGTTGGATTTCAGTGGAAGTTTAACATGTTTTTAATCCTCACGTCTTCCAGGAGCAGCAGATAAATGAAGCAGAGGCTGTTCTGTTCTCAGTACCCAGCTACGCCTGTCAGAGAAGGACCACTCTGGACAACTGTAACACCACCCTCACTGTATGTGTCGTCCTCCCAACAAACACACACATCTCTGACTTCAGGTAAAAACCGATGTCATAAAAACTCACTGTCTGCCTCAGGACGCTCTGTCGCTCCTGGCTGAAAATGCTGAGCTGAGTGAGGAGGACGGGCGAGGTGTTGCGTTCCGACGGGCTGCCGCTGTGCTGAAGGCGCTCCCTGTACGGGTGACGGCCATGTCCCAGCTCAAAGGGCTGCCCTGTTTGGGAGATCACTCACTCAGGGTCATCAAAGTCAGTGGAACCATCTATGTAGCTTTCTAAGTGTATTTAAGCTCCTCCAACACACTCAGACAAAATCTGATGATCGCTTATTTATTCATCTGGTCGTTCAGGACATTTTGGAGAATGAAGCATCAAGTGAGGTTGAATCCACCAAACACTCTGAGCGGTTTAAAGCGCTAAAGGTATGTCAGCTCTTTCCCATAACCCTGGAAACTGGAACACTGTTCAGACAAGGAGAAGACATCATGTATCCAGTAGTTGAACTGCTGAAAAGAAAAATATTCATAGATTCTGTATTTTTACACAGAAGTGGACTGATTAATCAACTAAGTCAACTTCTTATTAAATTATTTTTCATGTCAGGGTATTTTTTATACATCTTCCAACATGTCTGGGGGTCATCTGGGTCAATCCTTGAGAAGCCAATCAGTGCCTCCCCCTGGAATCAGTTGATTTATTATTTTTTTATGTACAACACCTTTAATATTTTTAATAAAGCAATTTTGCATTTTACCTTCATGCTATGAATACTTTGCTTCCAGCTTTTGGCTGTGAAATGGAGAAAAAATGTTGTGTAACTTCTCCAACACAGGAAAGTCACTGTACAAAAAAGAAATGACAAAATTACACATCATCATCATCGTTGTTCGCAATCTGAGGACAGAAACAGACCAACAGAACAAACTGACAGAAGAAGAACTGAAGACTGTCAGAGGAGAATCTGAAAGACTCTCAGACAAGCTCTGAATGCTGCAAACTGATTTGATCAATGTGATTTGTCTAAACCGGTCGATAAAACATGTAAAACACCAGTGTTGTTTCTCCATTTTACGGCCAGAAGCCACTTTCACAAGTGTTCAAAATGTGACCGTATTAGAAAGTAGTTTTGTCACGAAAGGAATCATAGCGAGGAGATGAGCCTGGTATCACAACGTAGGTACAAATGAGACATTTCTTTGCTATAATTTGCTGCAACAGTGAATTATTTGAAAATCCAGAACACATCCAGGGTATCAGTGCTTGTTTCCATGACGTACACATTAAACTGCTGCAGTTTTGCTGTTAAAACTATGATGCATCCCGTTATACTGATGCTCAAATTTGAACATAGAAAACATGCCGAACAAACAAAACAAAAAGATTTTGTCTTCAGATTGTGACACCTAGAGTTGATTTATTTGTATTAGTTTTTAACAGAGTTCAGATGTGTGTATCAGTCCTGAAATGTTATGAGTCTGCTGTACCTGTAACGTTATGAGGCTCAAAAATGATGTAAAAAGTGACCTGAATTAAAAAGCACAAAATGTTGACCCTCCTCTCTGCACTTCAAGGACCTGTAACTCTGAACATATTCATAGTATGAAGGTTAAAAAAAAGCAACACAAAAAAAAAAAAAACACATGCTAAACTTATTATAAATCAGCTGATTCTGAGGGGTTTGGTTTAACTGTTTTTAGATTCGGTTGCTTTTATATGGAATGAGCCTTTCAAAAACATTAAATTAATGACTATAAACTCAACAAGGTGGTTAAACGAATAGAAAAGATTCTGAGGACTATTTCTGATGTCTTTGAGCGGATTTAAAGCCTGCGCTGTTTCCTGTCACTGAATGTGTTTCAGGTTTTGACAGGTATTTTTGGGGTTGGACCAAGAACGGCTGAGCGGTGGATCAGAGAGGGAATACACAACCTCCATCAGCTACGAGAGTCAGGAGTAACGCTCAATCGAGCACAGCAAGCAGGTGTGTGACATGTATGAATAAATGCACTGCATTTAAAGAGCCCATAGTTATCTTTTTCACCCCCTCCTTTCTGCCATTGTGTTATAGAGCTGCTTGTTTGTGGAAAGTCTGTCCTACAGAAAACTCTGATCCTTACCTGCCTGAAACATCTCATTTCAAGTCCAGTCTTTTCTTCCATTACTTCTCTACATAGGAGCAGCTCATTTTCCACAAAAACACAGGAACATAAAACCAAACATGTAAGCTAAGCCTAAAGTAAAGATGTTAATGTGGAATAAATTCTCTAAGAGTTCATAATAAATGGCTTCATTAGGCTGGTTTCACTTAATAAACACAATAAAAAGACTGAGTTGAGTGTTTCACTGCTCATATGTGACTCAGAGCAGGTTTAGGGGAACTACTAAGAATGAGTCAATATGTAGAAAATAATCAGAAAAAAATCTGTCAAAGGAGGACGCAAGGTGGCTCAGTTCACGTCCCAGTGAGGACACCCGGGATCTTTCTGCGTGGAGTTTGCATTTGTGAAGAACAGATATTTTTCTTAATGATATTGTTCGAGAATTTTCCCAGAAAGTGAAATAAATCTTGACTGTAGAAGACAAGGATGTTATCATGTCTTAGTTTGGATAACATCAATAGAAAAATTGTCCTGCTTGCTTTGTTGTTTGTTTTTATCCCTTTGTGAAACACACTTAAATTGTAAAACAAAAAGAAAACAAAAACAAACAAAAAAGACACTATAATAACTAACTTGTTGTCTTTTAGGTCTGGAGCATTACGACGACCTGAACCAGCAGGTCACCAAAGCAGAGGCAGACGCCATCGCTGAGATCGTGCAGAAAGCCGTTGATTCTGTGTTGCCAAGCGCTCAGATTACTCTGGCCGGAGGATTCAGGAGGTAAAAGAGCAAACATTCACACACTTCTATGACCCTTACAGGTGTAACACAATTTTAAAAAAAAATCATTTAATGTGGCACTTAGAAACATGTTTAAGAGACACTCCTGTGTATATCAGAGACAAACAGAACAATTTCTCCTGAAGTTAAACAGAAACATGTCACTGACACTTTTTTGCAGAGGCAAGCAGACGGGCCATGATGTTGACTTCCTGATAACACACCCAGAGGAGGGCAGAGAGGTGGGACTGATGCCTAAAGTCGTCTCCTGGTTGGAGTCACAGGTAACTTTTGAGTCACTGCCTCTTAATTCATTTTTAATCAAGTTAAATAACTCCAGAATGTCAACACTGTCCCCTTAAAATGTTTCCTTTTTAAAAATCTTTATCTGTGTTCTTCACGTTCTGCTAATACAGCAAATATTTCACTACCAGACATCAAACTAAGCTGTTTGAAATAGAGGGGGATGCCCTGAAGCGTTTGCTGAGTATCTATCAGCTGATTAAAATAAGATGTTTCATTTAATTAAATTTGAAAAAATGGGTTGCTAAGTGTAGATTGATGAAAAAAACGCACATTTAAACTGAAATTACAACAAAATAAACTACAGAAAAGTGGAGGCGTGTGAATGTTGTGGTACTAGTTTGCTGTCTGTTGTATTGTCGGGTATGGGGCCATTATTGTAGCAAAACTATTTGTCCATGCGTATGGAGAGTTGTCTGTCTGTATCTCAATCCATTCGTCCGAAGTGAGATTTGACAATGTGTAAAAGAAGTTGTCAATGTGAAACGAAATCTACAAAAGTCATCTCACAATTTGTCTGTAATCAGGTTTTCAAATGTGGAAAAAACATCTGCTCGTCTGTATTAAAATTCAGACATGTAATAAGACTTGTCCGTGAGTACAGAGGTATTCGTAGTTGAAAAGTCTACGTTTTGGAGTCGAGCGGCTTCACCATTGGCTGTCTTTTCACACATGACTTTTGCTACACATGTACCATGAGAGATCTGAAGCTGAGGAGTATCTGAAAATCAGGGTTTCTGTGTCCTGAGTTCAGGCTCACAGGATCGTTCATTGTGGATGCTACCGCTCTGCTGCTCTGTACCTCAGCTGGGCTCAGTGACCCATAAACTCAGCAGGTCTAACTTGTTCACATGTACCTGTAATATGATATTTTTAGAAGGCTCAGCAATTGCCTTACTAATTATATAAACTGCAAAAAACACTAAAATGTACTCAGTGCGTGCGGTCGAGATTCCACCGTTGTCTACACCCTGCCTCACAATGTGGCGTACACTCAGAGACTCTGATGCACAGCGCCGCCTGATGGCTTGTAATTCTACAATTCTACAGTTTCATTTAGCAGAACTTCATCTGACAGACTGAAAACAGGGTGTTTTACTACAACAATGCGGCCATAGTCGGGTTCATAGGTTTTGGGCATTTGGCCTCTGCACACCATCGCAGTGGATCTGATGTAAAGCAATCAAGATGTGATCGAGGTGTAGATTTCCAGCTTTAATTCATTGTGTTTGACAAATATATTGCATTTACTGTTAGTTGCTCCATTTTACCAAAATCTGTACAGCGAAATTAGTAGAAGTAGCCTCACCCATAGAGCCACAGTGGCTGCGTTTGTAGGAAGCATGGCATCATCTTCCCTGAAGGCCTCACAGTGTGTTAGAGAGAATGATATTTCTTTCCTAAATTACTTATTGTCTCTCTAGGGTTTTCTGTTGTACCAGAAAGTTACAAGAAACTCGTACCTGGAAGTAAACGATGGTCCCGGTCGACCCTCCTCCAACATGGACCGCTTTGAGAGATGTTTCTCCATCTTTAAACTGGCCAAGAGGGAAGAGCGAGGAACCAAAGTGACAGAAAACACTGTGAAAACCAAGGACAGCGTTGGAGCCCACATGCACTCAGAGACGGATCAAAGTCCACCATCACATTCACACGAGCTGGATCAACATGACTCGACGAACAGACGGTGGAGAGCCGTCAGAGTGGACCTGGTTGTCTCTCCAATCAGCCAGTTTGCCTTCGCTCTGCTGGGCTGGACCGGATCCAAAGTGAGCTTTTATGAATGTCCACTTTCTTTAAACGTCTTCCTTGCTCATGTCACACGGTGACTAATGTTGATTTTATGTTGTGCAGTTGTTTGAGAGAGAGCTGCGGCGCTGGGCAGGACACGAGAAGGCCATGTCTCTGAGCAGCCACGCGCTGTACGACAACAAACAAGTAAATGTCCAAAAAATATCTGATTCAGTTGTTTTTCAGATTCCTATTGGCTTTATTATCACTTTATCTTTAACCTTCTGAACAACAAGCAGTTTCTGGGTGTTTTGTTCTCGTCACATGTTGCTTCACTGTGCGCTCATTGAAAAAACCTTAAATCAACATATTCAACATGATTCCAAATGTCCAAAAAGCGATGAATCTACGTTCCTTAGATGTTTTACTACTTACAACTTTAATTTGTTTCAGTGCTTGTCTCCTCTCCGCTCTGTCCAAACACAGCCTGCAGTTCAGCCGAATAGTCCCTGAATTTTTTTTGTCATGTGACCGTTGACCACAGCAGGGTCACTAGAGACAATCCACAACAAGGAGCGCTGGATCTTTGGTTTTCTACCTGGTCTGGTTTGCACAAACATTTTTGACAAAAGATTGTTGTTGATGAAATATGAGATAAGTTCAAGAACCATCAGAAAGTTGTAAATTCCAATGATTTTGATAAATAGTATATTTTTGGTGATTCTTTAAAAAAGAAAACATGCCTTTCAAACCCGTCTGCAGTTTTTGGGTTTCAGAGGTTTAAGGAAAGCAAACATTTAGACACAATGTGGACTCAGACTGGGTCCCCTTTAGTGTTTATTTATCGAGACTTGATTTTAAATCTGTGGCACCACAAATCAGAAGCAAACTAATTCCTGCCTCTTACTTATTAAGCGTTCTATACCTGGTGTGTGTTTTGTTTTGAGTTTTTTTGCATAAAAAATACATTAGATGAGTTTATTTGAAGGAATCAGGATTTTTTTTTTCCTTCACAGAGTCGATATCTGAGAGCTGCATCAGAGGAGGAGATATTTACTCATCTTGGTCTGGAGTACATCCCTCCATCAGAGAGAAATGCCTGAGAAGAACCGATGAAGCTCAGCGAAGAACACCTGAAGAGAAGGAGAACAGGACTGTGTGGCTCCAGGTGCAAGTGATACGTCCAGTGAATGCCCATTTATGCTTCTGCATTGATGCTGTAGGACCTTTAGAAGGAGCTTCAATTCGACACGTTTCTTTAGTTTAATTGCACACAGATCACACAGACTCGTCTTGAAAATAAAGACAAAAATTAAGTTCATCATTCCACTCTTTCTTGTACAAAAATAGACACGTTAGACAAAAATATTTCAACCTGAAACGCTGTCAGTTTATTCCAAAAGTGCACAAAATTTGTCCACGAAGTCCAACATGATGCACGGCACAGACAGAATACTGCACCGCTCCATCTGCTCCTGTTGCCTTTAAATGCTTGTTAGGTTCCATTAAGTGTCTTTTGTATTACAGAAGAACAACAGTACAATTCTTTCTGTGAACAGCATGAATTTAATTACAACATAGATGCCATTCAGAATACTCAGTGGTGGATTATGTAGCGTTTTTTTTTTTTTTAACCTTTTTGGATTACTTGCTTTCTTGTTTTTATTGGGGTTGTTATTTTTTTTCTTTTTTTTTTTTGCCTTGTTTTTTGGGAAAGGAGTCACCTTGTGTTTTCTTGACTTTTCCCGGGGCTTTAACCGGTTTGTTTTGTTCAAGGACCAGGAATTTTGACGTCATGAAGGGTCAGTGTTTCTTTTACAAGTGCTTAGAAAATAAGTCTGTCGAGGTTTTAGGTTTTTAAGTGTTTAATCAAATGGAAGAAACACACATTAATATAGAAAAAAATTAAATAAAACTAAACTGGTCTATATGTTTAGTATAAATGAAACAACAGTTTTTACAGAGATGCACTGAATTATATAATTTTAGAAAATAACTTATGAAGTGCCTAAGTTTTTAATATGTTAGTGGTCATACATAAAATACAGCATTGCTTAGGAAAAAAATCTGAACAATACATAAATACCTGTTTGACAGAAAGTCATTTTTTACAACTTAATTTGTTAGAAGTTCATCCATCCATCATCTATACACCGCTCAATCCTCACTAGGGTTGCAGGGGGGGCTGGAGTCTATCCCAGCTGACTTAGGGTGAAGGCAGGGGACACCCTGGACAGGTCACCAGTCTATCACAGGGCTACACTTAGAGACAGACAACCAAACACACTCACATTCACACCTACGGGACGCGAACCGGCAACCTTCTTGCTGTGAGGCAACGGTGCTAACCACTGATCCACCTTGCAGCCCTAGAAGTTCATTAGTGAGTTAAATATGTAAATAGAGTAAACAATGACAATTACACAAAATGGTAGAAAAATATATGAATGTATTACAAAAAAAAGTACACGAAACTATAATGAGAAAAAATATAAAGTAATATATTTTAAAACTAAATGGAAAGTAAAATATATGAGCAGAAGGCAGGATGAATGTAGGCTGTACATTCAGGGTTCTATTTGTTTTGACAAGACGGAGCTGTTCTCCATTGTAGGGATTTTTAGTGGCTCTCACTCAACTGTACAGACAGAATTACTACTCAGAATTTGGAAAATGCTGCTCTTTATATTTAATTCTTTGTTGTCAGTGGAGCTTTGCTGTGAAATTATTTCTACAATTCAGATTTTTGTACAACATAACCGACTGACTAAATATAATTCTTTCCACCGGGTTCATGATGAGCAGATACAGTCCAGTTGTCCATCTGAAACTACAGTTTCTGTGGGGGAGTATCACAGGTTGCAGTTTGTCAGTGTTTTGTGTTTCTCTTCAGCTCGTAGAACCTCGTACTGAACATTAAGTTTTACTGGATGTTTTGTGTTTCCCCACAAACACACCTGTGTACCAGTGACCTGCATTCAGCAACGTCCTCGTTGCTTTATCTGCACCTCCTCTCAACAGAACACCACACAGCTGTGCTGAGCAGCGCTAAAATGTCTCATCTCAGGGGGAGATCTTTTACTTGAATGCAGGTTTGAGGTACTTCACTGGAGTATTTCTATTTCATGCTGCTTTCTTCTACTTCACCCCATTTTAGAGGGAGATGTACATGTTAGTGCACTACAGTTATCAGATAAATGGACTTACTGGTAGCTTCTGGCTGGTTTAGTGGTGGAAGAGCTGATGTTTTACTTTCCTCCTTATTTTATGAACTTATCACTTAAACATCACCAAATAGTAGTTATTGGCTCAAACTGAAAACATTATTGTAATAATGAGTTGAATTAATTCATTTCTTCATCTCCATAAATATAGAGGACATTAACTTCAGCTATTTTCGTTTAAAAAGAAAAGTTTTTCTTTACATGAAGCTTCTAAAATGTGAATTGAATGTAGCATTTCATGGTTCACAACTGCACCATGTTATCTGCTGATACGTAAGAGAACTGAGGTTTTGACAGCACATGTTGCACTTTTTATTTAAAAAAAAAGAAAGAAAAAAAGAAATATTCAGAATTTCAGAGTTGTGTTGGCGTCAAAATGTACTTGAAGTACCAAAAGTAGAAGTACTAACGGTGTGGAATGACCAGTTTAAGAATCTAATGTTATTCAGGGTTACCTGGTTGTGCTGCTGGAATAAAGTGTTTGCTTCCCTTTGAAAGTCATGTTATCTTAAAAAAAATGTCAAAATGTTACAATATCTTATATTTATTAGCCAAAACACTGTAGAAACAGAAAGTTTCACCAACTTTCTTAACTTTCTTAATCATGTGTGACACGCAGTTCCATCACGACAAAGAACCACATCTAAGCCTAAAATCATGATATTTCATCAAAATCACTTTGTGCCTGTCTGTGCTCCTAATAAAACACTGGATCAATAAAGTCAGTGCAGCATGGCTCAGATACATATCCTCAGAGGGGTGAGTTGTCAGAAGATTCATTCAGCTGTGGAAACTTACAAATGTTGTACATGTTGATTCAGAACTTTTTGTGAAATAAATAAAGAAATCCAACTTTCTCTTTTTTCTCTGATTTATGGCATTGTAGCTGCATGAAGCTGCACAGAAAACATTTCTGAGTTCTCTCTCCATCTTCACGGTTGTGTTGATTCCATAGAGGTGCCGAACTTTCTATTGCACTGAAAAATTATCCCACAGGGAAGAGAAATGTAACGGCAGCAAAATCCCACAGAGAAACGATTTGGAGTTTGGACGGTTAAATGCCTTGTACTTTATGTTACCGTGCACCTGACAACATACTCAGTCTGTACGTCCTAATTCATTTATTGTGTTATTGTGTTTACGTGCTTCACACGTAGACAAATTACGGATGAACATATATAAAGCCTATTAAATACTAATTATTCTGTTTCAGGTAAAAATCTTGGATTCAAATTTAGACTTAAAGGCACAAAAGAGTTACTTATCGACGTATATTTGAAGAGCCAAAGGTAAAAGTACTCATTGTGCACAATAGAACAGAGAATAGAATCTTTATTGTCATTGTGATACATGTGTAATATATTGTATACAACGAAATGGAAAACCAACAGTGTAACATTCATGTCAAAAAACAAAGACTACAAAAACTGTAAAAGAGCAATTAAAAAAATAAATATATATCTAAATAAATTGTAATTTCAGATATGCAAACACAGACATACATCCATCTCTTTCTTACTTGCTTGCTTCCTTCATGTATTTGGCTGTATTTTTTTTTTTTTTATTTGTTGTTTTTGTTTTTTTGTGTTGGGTGGTGTTTGTTTCTGTATTTGTTTTTGTTTTTTTTGATCTGTCTGTTCTTTCTGCCGGCCGGCGTTCGTTCAGGTAGTTAGTGGGGTGTGTGTTGTGCTTTCTTTTTTTTTTTGTCTGGCTTTCTTTTGTGTGAGCGTGCGTGTGGTTTGTGTCCCACATATGCAATACGTTAGTATGTTCTCTATGGAGCACCTGTAGAGTGACACCAGCAGTCTGTGGGTTATGTTGTTTTTCCTGATGTGAATGTGAAATCCTGTCTAATTTTATATCTGTGACAATTTTTGTGCAATTTCAAAAATGCTGGAAAAGGGTTTTTAGCTACAATCTTACAAAACAGCTGCTGTAATGTGAAACTACAGCTCATTTTAAGAGAGGTAAAATGTTCCATATTAAAATGAGCTATAAAAAAAAGTTTAAAAGTATTCAAAATAGTGCCTAAATACAGTTTGATATGGTTACTTATTGAATTTCCCTTCTGGGATGAATAAAGTATTTTTCATTTCATTTCATTTCATTTCCACTGCTGATTAAAATGAGCCCCAACTGCAAATGTATGCATCAGACCTAATTAAAAAATGTCATATATGATATTATATGGGAACAGGTGACATTTTACTTTAAAGACTTTAACTTTTTTAAGATAATATTGATGTACTTCACGGGAAAAGTTTTGAATTGAGTGTAATAGCGTATTTCTAAATGGCTACATTGGTACTTTTACTCTGGTAAATGATCTGAGTGCTTCTTGTACCACGAGTATACAGTGTGGGTCTTTACTTCTGTAACCAGTGAATCTCAAAATATTGCTGCCATTAGTCGCAGAAAGTAAATATATTTAGCAACGTTTGAAGTACAAAAAGAAGAATGTAGACGAGGCTCGTTTCCGTTCATAGCTGTCTAGCGTTGTCAGAAGGTGGCGCTGTGGGAGACACGGCAGAAGAAGCCAGGAATAAAATCAGCTGATTGTAAACTGCTAATCAAAGAGAAGAAGAAGAAACAAAGAAAACTTTAGGAAAGTGGAGAGGAGTCTTCTGGAATTGTTTTCAGTCTAGAAAGCTATTCTTTCATGTTGTCCGGAGTCTCTAGAAGCAGAGATCATGCAGAAGTCACCTCGAACATTTTCGAACATTTTATTGTTACTTTTTTTTTTTTTTTTGAAAAAGGAAGGTTTTTCAAATTGAGCTATTTACTTTAACTTTTTCTTGATGGGATCCCTCACAGTGCACTTAAAATACAATCTAACAATTAAAGTTTGAACTAAAATTAAAACAAATGACGCAACAGTTTGCATCAATCTTTTGAAAACCTTTGATGAAATCATGTTCAACCAACAAACTACACTGAGTTTGAAGAATTAGGTTTTCCTCTAGAAGCAAAGGTATTTTGAATTAACAGCCTTAACCATCTGAAATTGTTCAAACATATAAAGAAAGTTAAATTATCTCAACCTCAGTATAGTTTTAGATCAACTAAGCAGAAACTGGGGTCATATTAAGCACAATATTAAGTTGATGCAACATTATCATGTTAACCCAAACACATTAAAATAATGTTTGCAACATAAAAGGTTGACCTAAATCAATCAAATGGGTTTTTTTTCTTGCAACCATGCATTTAATTAAGTGATGACAATGGATCCCTTGAATTATTTAGTAAAATGCACATTAATTAAGGAAACACATCTTGAAACAATTGAAACCTGCTTGTTGTTATTTATTATAGATTTTGAATGCATGGCTACTTTTTCCCTAAGTATTGTTATTTTTTGCTAAAAAAGATAAATTGTTGACCTCCAGATTT